TATGTGAAAAGTTGCATGATATTTACAGGCCTGAAGAAGGTCTGCTTAGGTGCTCAAGCATACTTAACCATGCTCACTGTGTGGTACTCTACTGTCACATTTAATATTTGCACATTTAATAATACCACATGACACAGATATTTATAAATGTGTACATTAAAAACTTAGCAATCAATAGTGATGCACGGTTCATGAGAGAGACATGGAATGAGATGCTTGTGCTTTTATTTTTTTATTTTTTATTTTTTTTGCTTTTTTTTTTGCTTGCTTGTGCTTTTAAAAGCCAGGATTCTGAATCTGAATTTTCTGAAATCTGCACCTTTGATTTTGTGCTTTGGTTTTCTGGCACAAATGCAAACAATAGCAGTAACAACAACCCTATAGCATGAATAACACAGGCGTTAGAAAGACAACATAAAATTATGGTCCCCCCCCCCCCGCCAATCCACAAAATAGAAATAATCTTCAGACACACAGAGAACGGAACATTGAACACAAATGCAGAACTTCCCTGCAGAAATATGGGCCCATGGAAAATGATGCCAAGGAGTAGTGATAACAGAGTCCTGTGTGCTGATGACACTTCTCCACACTGGCTTCTAAGAGAAATAGATTTTTATGAGAGCACAGTATACTCAAAATCCCTGCCATGCTTGATTTGTACGCAAGATAGCAATCAATAACCCATAATAAAATCCATTCCTAGGCATGAGCCTATCCTTGTACAAAGAGCTGTAACCAGTTAGGGATCCCTGGATGGCTCTCAGCGGTTTAGGCCCTGCCTTTGGCATGGTCCTGGAGTCCTGGGATCGAGTCCCACATCAGGCTCCCTGCGTGGAGCCTGCTTCTCCCTCTGCCTGTGTCTCTCTGCATCTCTCTCTGTGTCTCTCATGAATAAATAAATAAAACCTTTTAAAAAAAAACTGTAACCAGTTAGATGGAGTACTAAGGTAAATGGGCCTTCAGAATCAAACCCGAGTTGAAGCCACGCAAAAGGCCAGAAACTGCTTAGTAGGCACAGAGTCTGCCTGGCAAGCATGGCTCCTTTAAGACAGATTCCTCTAGGCATTCACTTATTCTCAGATGTGACACTTAAGGCATAGAGCAAACTAAAACAACTTGGGGAAAAGAAAGAAAGAGAGAGAGAGAAAGAAAAAGGAAGAAAGAATGAAAGAAAGAAAAAGGAAAGAAAGAAAGAAAAAGAGAAAGAAGGGAAGAAAGGGAGAAAGCAAAAAGCAAGCTCACAGGAATTGATTGGAAATATAGTCAACTTACTTGGATTATCTGACTCAAAAAAAGATCATTTAGAAATGATTTACAAGGGACTCACTCAGAAATAGCAGCAACAGGCATATTTCAGACCATAAATCAGTGGAACATGAAAACTGAAGAAAAATCCATAAAGGTTAATGCCCTTTGGAGTGCATTTGCCTCTTAATTCATAGGAGTAAGTCATCGGCACATCGGAAAGAGGCTCCCCCATCACTGTGTAATTGTTCATGCTGAGTGTAACTACTATCTGTGCCTTTTGTATATAAAGATTTTCTGGGTAAAAGTGCAAAATAAGCTCATCATTGCTGAGCCCAATCATGTCCTCAGCCCATACCCCTAGGAGACAATTTGCTGAACTAATGAAATAAAAAGGGATTTGGGTACTCTTATTTGTAATGAGTAAAATTCATGCCTAGCACTAGAGGGAAAAAAAGAGGTAAAAATCATTAAGTAAAGGGAGAAAAGAATATTATCTACAAAATTTGAACTCTGCAAGCTTGTAAACAAATATAACTTAAAAAAAATCTTACCACGAGTACACTGCGAGTGATTTGTGCCTGCATTTAAGTGTTCCCTCCAGACTGAAAAGCACTTTAGTTAAAATGAAGTAAGCTTCTTTAAAATGACAGCTGTTTAAATTTTTTAAGCATATAATTTGAAAATTGAAGCAATCCAAGCTCTAACCTTTAATATCAAGCAATCTTCTTTTTTAATGAAAAAAAAAAAGCATATAAATAAATAAATAAATAAGGGCCACTGATTTAAAACTCCAAGGCAAAGTGATAACCCTGCTTTTTCCAATAGACCTGGAATTCTTTTTTTTAATCCCTTCCACTTATTTATAGTTAAGAAACCTCTCTCTCTCTCTCATTCTCTCTCTCTCTCTCTTTTTTTTTTTTTTTTTACAAAAGATAAGGCTGTTTGAAAAATTTTCAAGAAAAATAGCAACTTATTACAAAATGTCTATCATGTCATCTGGGAGCTTACATGTAACGTTTAAACATTTTATATTTTAGGGGTTCCGCATCAGTTTGACCTTAGATATTCTAATGCAAGACACAGGGAGCTGGCCAATCTTCTACCTGTTGCTGTCAGGAGCAGCTCTATTAAGAATTGCTTACATCTGGGCAGCCCGGGTAGCTCAGCCCAGGGTGCGATCCTGAAGACCGGGGATCGAGTCCCACATCAGTTTCCCTGCATGGAGCCTGCTTCTCCCTCTGTGTCTCTGCCTCTCTCTCTCTGTGTCTCTCATGAATAAATAAATAAAATTTTTAAAAAATTCATCTCTTACCATGTCCTGATTGAAGAGCTTTATATGGATTCTTTTATGTAATTCACAATAACTCGATGAGGTCTGCACTATTGCTGTCTGCATTTTATGTACAATGAAACCGAGCAAGTGAAAAAATATTATTAGTTGATAGTTACATTGTGCTTATAATATGCCCAAAATGTTTGAAGCAACCACCCCATGCTTTGCTTCACTTTTTCCTTAAAACACACCAAAGAATACTTTTATAAATGCTATTTGGAAGAAGAAATGAAGGCATAGAAAGATTAAGTACCTTCCCAAGGTACTTACAGCTACTAAGCAATGGAGCAAAGATTTGAACTTGGGTGGTTTGGCTAGACTTCACCACCACTCTAGACAGTGGACTCTTCTAACACTGCTGCCTCCCAAATGTTCACCCTTAGGGGTAGGACTCGGAAGGGGGCTGGTAGGGGGAGGACAATCAACATTAGTCCATGTGAAAAGCCCTAGAGTTTGCTGACACAGTGGAAGCTTGCATGGAATGAGAGAACTTTCACATTGCTAAATACAAATATCTGGATATACATACCGGAGACTGCATTATTTCTCTCGGGATACAGTAAGTTTTATTTCCAGCTCTGACTTCTTCTCCTAAGACCCTGATCTGTATTTGTAATCTGTTAGCTATTTCAACTGGATGTCCTTTTGACAATTCAAATTATCTCAAAAATGGAAGTCTTCATAGCTGCCCTCCCACTATTATTACTTCATTTCTCTCCCTCTACGTTCTCTATTTTTGTACCATCCTTGTTCCAGTTACCAGGGCTCAAGCACAATCATTTTTCACTTCTTCCTCTCTTATCTTCAGCCTTGCTGCTCATGAAAGTAGCTTCCAGACTTAGAGGCATTCTCTTTATGCGTCCTCTTAGTGCATGCATTTATTCATGGGTTCGTTTCTTCATTCATTTAAGCAAGTACTTGTGGAGTGCCTACCTTATGCCATGTACTGTTCCAGGTTCTGGAGCATCCATGGTGAGAGAATCATGCCCCAGGGACTATCACTGACAGCTATGATAGGAATGGCGCCACTTCAACTTGTTTCGTGCCAGTGCCTGGACGGACATTCCCGTTTCCATTTGTTAACATCCAGCACCATAATCCAGGCTTTTATTAAATCAGATGACGTAGGGGTGCCTGAGTGGCTCAGTGGTTGGGCATCTGCCTTTGGCTCAGGGTATGATCCTGGGGTCCTGGGGTTGAGTCCTGTATTGGGCTCCCTGTGAGGAGCCTGCTTCTATCTCTGCCTATGTCTCTGCCTCTCTCTGTGTGTCTCTCATGAATAAATACATAAAATCTTAAAACAAAAATCAGATGATGTAGATGGATGGACAGAACTTAATGTAAGGTGATATCTTTTCCAGGCCTTCCTAAAACAATTTCCCAGTTGCTGTTTCTCCTAATTTTTATGTTACACCCATATAGTAGGGTTTTTTACCCTTATTTTACAAATGGGGAAAGTGAAGCTCAAAATGGTCAACTAATTCAGACCCAAGGCATTACTGAGGAAAGAATTGGCATAACAAAATTTGGACCAGGTCTCCTGAATTCTAAAGCCTGAGCTTAAAAAAAAAAATTACTGGAATTGATTTTCTTAATCTTTTGTGAGAACAACAGTAGTATATGAGCATTGCAGATAATTATGGGGAAAAAAGAGAATAAGCAAAAACAAGAAAATAAAAAGTTCATATTTCCACCATTCAAAAAAAAAAAAAAAACCAACCAAACAAAACCATATAACAACTTTAGTCTCTTCCTCCTCCAATTTCTCTAATGTATAGTTGTTATATTAGTCTCACCAAGGCACAGATTAAGTAATTGCAGCTTCCTCAGGGCATCCTATGTGCTCTTGCCTCCAGGTCTTTGCACCTGCCAGTGCACCTGCTAGGATACTCCCCTCCAGACCCTTTCCCCAGCAGTCCCTGGTCCTTCAGCCACTAGCTTACATACAACTTCTTCCAGGAGGCCTTGTCCTGTGAGTCTAGGTGGAATGCTCTTTGCACTTTGCGCCCATAATACTGTGGAGTCCACAGAATATTCCTGTTGACGTGTCTGTATTCCCTGCTAGTTTCTAGACATCTTGAGGATAGGGAATGTGTCTTTTTTATTGTAGTCAGCATTTGGTAGCCAGCAGGTATCAAGAGATAAGTCTAGTATATTCTCACTGCTACTCACCAGCAAATTTGGCTTTCTGTGTACTCCTTGCATTAAAAAAAAAAATCCCATGCCTTTTCTCATCATGTCTATATGGTCTACTTCTAGGGTATCCATTTTCCAAACTGTGGTATATAAGCTAGAGTAGAGGCTTGAGAAGCTCCCATTTTCACTACAGCCTTCCTTCAAGGGCCAATTCAAAGCTTGCTCACTCATAAAGTTTTCCTGAATCTCTTTATTTATTATTTTTGTAAAGTAACCTCTACGCCCAGTGTGGGGCTTGAACTCACAATCCTGAGATTCAGAGTCACATGCTCTACCAACTGAACCAACCAGGTCCTCCCCTGCCTCTGATCTCTTTCAGCTACTTTACTAATTTGAAATAGTTTATTTTATTACATACCGCTAGTGCCTTTCTCCCTATTTATTTTCTCTCTATTAGAATTAAGCTCCTTCAGAGTACAAATGTGCTTTAGGACATCTTTGAATCATACGTGAACCACTTAACTCTGTCAAGTACCGTGGACACAGTTAATGTTTTAAGAAATGGTAATATTACGTTTCTTTTACTACTTACTTAGGCTTGTCTTGAAAGGCTAGTGAGGCTTCCCCCCCCCTGCTAAGATTTTATTTATTTTGAGAGAGAGAGAGAGAGCACGCAAGAGCACGAGCAAGTAGGGGGAGGGGCAGAGGGCAAGGAAGAGACATTCTCTCTCTTTTTTTTAAATAAATTTATTTTTTATTGGTGTTCAATTTACCAACATACAGAATAACACCCAGTGCTCATCCCGTCAAGTGTCCCCCTCAGTGCCCGTCACCATTCACCCCCACCCCCTGCCGTCCTCCCCCCTCCACCACCCCTAGTTCATTTCCCAGAGTTAGGAGTCTTTATGTTCTGTCTCCCTTTCTGATATTTCCCACTCATTTTTTTTCTCCTTTCCCCTTTATTCCCTTTCACTATTTTTTATATTCCCCAAATGAATGAGAACATACACTGTTTGTCCTTCTCTGATTGACTTACTTCACTCAGCATAATACCCTCTAGTTCCATCCATGGTGAAGCAAATGGTGGGTATTTGTCATTTCTAATGGCTGAGGAATATTCCATTGTATACATAAACCACATCTTCATTCTCAAGCAAGAGTCTACGCTGAGCCTGGAATCCAAAGCAGGGCTGGATTCCACGACTCTGACATCAAGACCTTAGCTGAAATCAAGAGTCGGATCCTTAACCAACTGAGCCACCCAGGTGTCCCTAAAGGCCAGTGCTTCTTAAAAGGATTACAGTGCATAGATTATTATAAGGTTATGTGTTGGGGAATAAATATGGCTGGCTAAAAAAAGGTGAAAAAAAAAACCCCAAAAGAATAGGGACAAAGTGAAAGAAAAAAAAAAAGATCGTGAAGATAAATGATGTACACATTATGTTAAACTGTCATTTTTAAAGGCATTTTAAGGTAAACGGTTGGCAAATCAACACCTGCTCACATTCCTGGTAACATGGAATTTAGTGTATCTGGCCTAATTTAGTGCATACTGCTTGGACATAAATGACCAAAGTCAGAGACTGAAATTTCATGTGTCAAAAACACAAAATGTGAGCCTGCTGGGATACAATTACACTCTAAGTTTGCTAGGAGAGACAGGCTGGCCACTTGGTTCTCTCCTTCACTGTTTCTGAAAAGGATGATTTCATTACATTTAATAAATGAATGCTTTGGAAAACTCAGTTTGAATTATCTCTAATGAGCCTATTTGGCAGCTAAGCTTGTTCCTGAACTTAGCTTATGATGATTTCTTATCCCACTCTTGAGTTTATTATCACTTGATTAACTGCCACCCTGAATGCAAAGTGCTCTAAGAAAATGTACCTGGAAAATAGAGAATGACCCCCTAGTCAACGATTTGGATATCTGTGAGTTATAGACACCTCTTGTTCCCTAAGCTTTTCTACTTTTATCTGCTTTGTTCATGTATTTGATTATTTCAAATATGGTCTTCTCATTGGTTCCTTTCTCTGCATCCACACTTTCCCAGACCGGCATCTATAATGATCTTGCAACAGTATAGAAATTATTATCCATAATGGCTCAAAGTCTTCCTCAAATTTACCTCCTACAGAGCTCTTTCCTATTCGGAAGAGGTCTTCTGCTTTCTGGAGTCTCCTCTTGGCCATCTATTGTCCTATCACACTCATGAGGGGGTTTCAACATCACACAATGGGTTGTTAACACTGATTGCTTTTAAGCCATCTCAGCTGCCATTCTATTATGGTCCTACTTTCCTTTCTAGGGCCTCAGACTCATGTCCTTCTTTATAGTTAATTTCATAAATAGGTCCACTTACAAGATAGGATTTAAAGACTATAATTCCTACCACTCTGTTTCATTCAAGTTTTTATATCCTCTGCAAGGCTAAATCAGCATTAAGAATTCTGCTAACAGGGCAGCCTGGGTGGCTCAGCGGTTTAGCGCCGCCTTCAGCCCAGGGCCTGATCTTGGAGACCCGGGATCACGTCCCACGTCAGGTTCCCTGCATGGAGTCTGCTTCTCCCTCTGCCTGTGTCTCTGCCTCTCTCTCTCCATGTCTCTCATGAATAAATAAATAAAATCTTTAAAAAAAAATTCTGCTAACAAATCCGAGCAGCAGAAAAGTATATAGATAATTACATTTGTACATGGAATAATACAGAAAAAAATAGTCTCCTGTCTAGCTGATTACCTGTAGGGAAATATCTATCAATCACACAGGCATTAAAATGATGAATACACAATTCCAAAGAAAAACTAGACCTTATCGAAGAATTTTGATTACAACATAACTGATATTCCTCTGGATTCTGTTGACGAGAAATACCTAAAACACATAGAAGACCAAACAACTGTCCACCAGTCAGTGTCTGCAATCCAGTTACTCTGCTCAGTGAGTTTACACTCTTGCTGACTATTGCTACTAATTATAGCTGAAAATGCACAAGATAGGAAAAGCCTATGGAAGTACTTCAAACATAAAAAAAGAAAAATCCAATGCAATCCTGATTTCACCTGAGAAGTGTTTCCTATTTTCAAAACAATGGGTAAAAAAAAGGTAAGGAATATATGCTTCATCACAGCACACATCGGAAGTACATCTTAAGGGAAAAACATTATTTCAAAAAACTATTTGGTCTCGTAAAACCTATGAAAAGATGTCTAGCTCATCAGACTGATGGCTAGTTTTTTCTGACAGTTTATTTTCAATATGGTAGTATACATAAAATTGTCCATTTTTATGAGGTCAACAATGAAAAGTTATGGCCACAGGCATGATAGCCACAGGCAGAAGAGTTAGTTTTGTATTTAGCAACTATATATTCAGGTTGTTACTATGTACCTTCATACTTACTAATATCTTTAAATGTTTTTATATCATTTTCCTCATATGCATATTTTGTTTGATCACACCTCTTGTACAGGAGGTATTTGTTGATAAAATCCTTAAAAAAGTGTGTGTGTGTGGGGGTGACACCTGGGTGGCTCAGCGGTTGAGCATTTGCCTTTGGCTCAGGTTGTGATCCCAGGGTCCCAGGATTGAGTCCAACACTGGGGTCCCCTTGAGGAGCCTACTTCTCTCTCTGCCTATGTCTCTGCCTCTTTCTGTGTCTCTCATGAATAAATAAATAAAATCTAAAAAAAAAAAAGAAAAAAGAAAGAAATTCAGAAGAAAGCAAAATAAATGGTCACAGATACAATGATCACAGAAAATTTCCCAAAGTGCTCATTTCCAAAGATGGAAAGGCCTATTTTTCATAACTAAGTTTTAGATATCTTGGTTAAAAAACATCGGGAAAGTCCAATGCATACAAGCGTGTTGGAAAAATGAGGAGGCAAAAATGCATGCATGAAAAGGAGTAACATGACATCCCCTCCTTACCGGTGCATCTGCTTCTACAAGAAGGATCACAGGGTGTGTTACGACATGACACCAATGTCATACACAGGCCTAGGCAGCTGGGAGGGATCTGGAATTTTCTAAGACTCAAGCAGAACATTGGGCCAAGCACAAAATCCACATCTTTTGCCTCTAGTTTGACATTCTATTCTTCAATGACAAAAGTGAAAGAATAATTAGACTATGTGGGTTTCCCTTTAACCTGGTTGGCCATTTCTTCTAACAGCACAATTACCCTGCTAATGAGATTACACTGGGTTTAACTAGAGGATTATTTCACAGCAAAACCCTGCTGACTCCTGTTCCCAGAGGCCCCATTTTCCTATAGATGCGCCCATCTAAATTTGTTTGTCTTCATGAAAGCCAGACGTAAAAGCTAGGCCTGCACAGTTGTGAAAACATAAGGGCTTTTGTTTATATTGAAAAAAAGCCTCATTTACTTCATCTGAATCTCTCTAATACCCAGTGAAATATTTATTAATGAGTATCAGCACTGCAAACCAGAAAGTCTTATTTGCATTAATTTAAACTATAAATAGTTGAAGGTAGATTTCATTCCTGAAGTCATGGATTCAGGAAAAAAAAACCCTGAATTGTGGGTTGAATTAAAGGAGACCATTAGCAAAGTAAAATGTATGAGACATTAAGGGTGGTAGATATTTTTCCCACCCTTGGGCTACATGGATCATTTCTCAATATATAATTTATTACCCTGCTTCTAGTCACTTCAGTGGAGGCGACAGGATGGGGCAGTGATTTTTTTTTTTCTAATTTCTGTCTGTTAGGGTTGTAGGGAACATATCTGTGCTAATCATCAGGTTGGACCAAAAATTAGTTGAGTACATCTGGGTATCCATTCATTCACTCACCCAACAAACCTTTAGTGTGCTAACTGTATGTCAGGCACCACTAGATGATAAGACTAAAAAATAGACAAAACATACTGCTTGCTCTTAAAGGGTACTTGGGCTAAAGTAATGCTGGATCCAAACTACAATCCACACTCTCTTAGTTAGTGGTCATGAAATAACATTAGAAAATTGCAATCAGCATCGAGAGACAGGGAGGTAGACAGGGACCGAATAGGATAGAACTATTAGATGTATTGCATATATTAGTGGCAAAGATTGATTTGTGTAATTGTTATATGTATGTATACGTATGTGTGTGTGTGTCTGTGTGTATATATGTATGTATATATATGCCTGTGTGTATGTATGTATCTATTTGATTTTTAAAAAATATATACATGCAGAATGTGCTGGATCATGGTATCAAATATAATTTTTACTGAGAAAAGAGTATGCAAGTGACAGATCCTAAAAGAAAAGAATTAAACTCTAGACAGGCTGACAGCACTAATGGTATAGACTGTTTGGTAATTTGTTTACAAACCTTATCCGGCGA